TCGAACCAATCAGAGGCGGCGGATGAGAGAGATGTGTTCAAGAGTAAGATGTTAAAGTTTCATCACTCCCCCTCTCTCTTGTTTCGTTCTGCCTGGTATCAATTGCATACGCCATCCACTTTTTACTTGCAACGAGAAGTTAACTACGACAAATGGTGGTGTTTTTACAGTTGCAGATTCTGTGTAGGTTGTTTCAATTGCAGGCATTTTTTCTGTCTACACTGGTGGGGTACAAAAACTGTCTGTTTATGGCCCTGTATGGCACGTGGTGTGGACAGCTGGACGGTAAACCCTGATAGAAAGGCGGTCGTCAGGGGACATAGGGGAAGATGATGGTCACTCCGCATTGCCTCATCTGGCAATCATCTATAACCTAGAGTTCCAACAACCTATGCACTGTGCGGCGGCAGCACCCCAGTAATAACCTTGTCTGTGGGGTTCAAAAAATACCATTAAACGATGGACGCCCTATTCCAGTCCCAATTTTTTACTCCGTACATCAGTTGTGAACCATACTGAAGTTTTCAAACGGCCTACGATATCCCAAGAGTGTTATTTACCAAAGCCCTGCTTATCCCTGTCATTGCTAACGGCTCTGCATATGGTGTCTTCAACGTATTCTAGACCACACATTCCAAACAGCCGACCCTGGATTCTGGCCGTGACACACGCGATCAAACCACAATAACATGAAAGCAATGTTTGTCCTCATCTACCTCGCAATGTCCGTTCTCTTCTGGAAAACCTAATGACAGACTAGCGACAGAGGATGACAAACCCGGTCACCCGCGAACCCGCCGGGTATCATGTGGACATCGACACCCGCAGCGGGCTTGTCTCCTTAAAACAAGGACGAATGAAGAAAGTAGGAGCAGGCTGACCCTCCTCTGTAACTACCGCCCCAAGTAAAATGATATGCTGAGGTCATCCTCGTTATTAGAACTGAAGTCGACCATCGGCACACCTCAATGCAGACTCCGCTGTCCGGAAAGAAATTCCTTGCCATTATAAGCGCCTATGCTCCGACAATGCCAAGTTATAATGCCATAAACAGCAATTCCCAAGAGAATCTGCACATCCCCTTGAGCCTGTATGTACATAAGATCATATTGTTATTCTCGGAGACTTAGAAGCAAGGAAGGGAGTTAACAGAGAGCATGAGAGGGATGCGTGGTTATCACGGGCTGTAATAATAAACTTCTCCGAGCAATGCAAATCTGCACCAAACACACTTCATAATGACCACCGTCTTCTGCGGTGCCGGCAGAATGCGAATCGTCCTCGTTAATGCCGCTGGCAACTGGGCAACTGCGCACCGGTCAGGAGGTCAGGACCTGTAAAAAGTTTGTGCAAAATGCCATCTGTGTCGTGAATGCTTCAAAACGTTTAGTTAATAAGATATTCAAGAAGGTAAATGCAGTCTCTGATAGCAGTCACCGATAGCACAAAAATAAATGAAGGTGTTGGCCTTTGACAGTACTGCGCCTAGAGATAGTTTTCTGTTTTCCATGCCTCCTGTATGCGGTTGGATTCCAAGGTTGCCGCCTTATACTAGACAGTAGGTCGTCATGCCTGCCTATTCCACAAACTGTCTCCTTATATCCCTTATAGTCAGTTCAGCAATATCTTACATATTTCCCTTGTAACGTTGCTTGTTTCCTCCATGATCACTAC